GGGTGAATCAGTCCCCATCTCGGCTCTGGTCAGCTGGTACCGCACAATAGCCGGATGGTAGCCAATCCCCGCTGAGTGGAAAAGAAATTGGCCACCGTCTTACTTAGGAAGTAGCCTATATCCCTCTCTTGGGTTTCTTTCGATCCTAACCCTGCTTTGACTCACCGGTGTGGTGGTCGCACAGAACGCCTAGATGTCCACCAGATGGTCACTTACGCGTACGATTATTTTTATGCAATAGTTCAGTTCATAGCAATACCCTTGTGCGATGTTCATGATGATGATTCCAAGACTCGATTCTAGGCCAGGCTGGAGTGATAGTACACACTCACGTAGACCCCCGCCTGGCTGGTATACGCTAGTGACACCCACGAGTGAAGCCGGGCAGACTGCTCGAGGTCTTCATCCGGGCTGTCATCAACGTCAATCGGAATGATTGTGATCGGGAAAGGGCAGAACTTACAACAGATACTGCACGTTAGCCACATAGCTCCGAGCCTCGTCCGCCCATCCGAGCGAGTCAAAGAAGCGCGCCAGCGTCTTGGCCACGAACATGTCGTTCCTCCCAAGAAGAGGGAGGTACAGCTTCGGGATGGGCTCGTCGCGGCCCGGTCGGATCTCATAGTTCCACATCAGTATTGGCGCCTTAGAAGGATGTTGTCCTTGTTGACCGTTGCCCTCCAGCAATTCCCATAGCCGTCGGACCAACTCCAGGCCCTGCGTCGTAGCCGAATCCTTCAGCCTTCCACCCATGGTCCATACCTCCTTAACCTTTTCCATCCTTAAATCTCCAAGTACCCCGTAAACCTTGATTCGGGACTTGACCGAATCGACAAAGTCCCAAGCCAGGTATGTGTACTCATTGAATCCCCCGCCTTCTTCCATGTACTCAATCACCTTCTGAACTGCCTCACTGTCTCTTCTCTCTGCCGTCACATTCAGCTGGTTCAACGAATCACGGAGTAATCGTTGCATAGGCATGCCAGATGCCTTCTCCTTCAGCCTGAGAAAAACATACCCCTTCGTATCCACACTAGCTGCCCCAACCCTCTCAAAGGTGAACCCTATATTATACATCGACTGCACTGAGTCCCTCTTAAACTCCCCTTGTTTCACCTTCAATGTTTCCATCTCAGTGATCCCAAAATCCCTAACGAAATGATGGTACAGCATGCGGTCGAGTCCTCCCAATGTAGACAGTCGACCAACCAACCGCTCCGTAGCAGTCTGATTGAATCGATCGTTGGATGTTCCCGCGAACTCACAGATCGGCTCAATGCCCACACGAACAGTCGATGCATGGTGATCCTGAAAATTAACGCTCATCTCAATCGGCAGATCGGTATAGGTCATAACGCTTGGCCAGCGCTGCGGATACGGTCCGAGAGCGGGGACAATGTGATTCCGCGCGAAGAGTAGATATTCGAATTGCATAGGCACAGAGTAGCCTGTTATTTGCAGCAGCCGACCAAGGAGTGGGCCAATGTTCCGCCACCAGGACGATTCGGCGCCATTGGTTGAGGTTTGGTATTTCACGATGATATCCCATGGTTTGTGGGTTGCTTGGACGTTGATTTCGAAGCTCGCTTTCTGATGCTTAGGTGAAGCGTCAGGTGGTGATGCCTCCACACCTTTTGTATGAGATGAGGCTTCGTCCCTCAGGAAAGGTGAGGCCATTTTGGTTTAACCTACACCTCGGGGTGATGATGCTCGCAGATCTACTAGTCCAAGAGGTCAGTGTATTGCCCTTATACCAAAGGCAGTATGATCAAAGATTTTACCATTCCCACTCCGAACGAGGTTGAGGAGTGTCGTACTTGTCTGTTCTGCGGGCATATATGCATCTTAAACGGAAAGGCACAACAAGGCGGGCACAAAGCCAATACCTGTGTAACCATTCAGATATGCAACGCTCTTTGAAATTCCTAACACTCCACTGCAGGTAGTAAATTTTCCGAACTCCGGTGTTACTGCCTGAAGATTGTGGAGCGAGTTGGCGCTGAGAGACTCTGGTTTAGAGTGAATCATGTTCCAAGAACATATTGGGTGCTTGAAAAGATTTAATTTTGGGTCATAGAGGTACTCTTCGGTAGGCGCAGAATATATCCCTTTACTGTTTATTTTAGAGAAGAATCTTTCAGGACCTAGTTAATCCCCTTAAGCTAAGGTAAGAGGGGGCTAGTGTGCAAATGGTCCGCAACAATGCACAAACGTTGGACAGATGTGGCATCTACCAGGAACAGCGTACGACCTCAAATAACTGGTGATCGAAAGGCTCAACCTGCTATATGTCACAAGTATAGTACCAGTTGAGGCGATGTCAAGGGTGGGTACTAGCCCGCTTAAGGTACTCCAGGACCGGCGTCTAAGATTGCAGGAAACGATAGAATAACTGCGAAAAAGGGATCCCAGATTCAGGGCCCATACATGTCCTGCTCGGGTTTCTCCGCTTCATGCGACTGTGAGAGCAGATGGACAATATTGCCGCACACTCGAAAAGACCATTCAAGAATTTGGGTAAGTCGACATCAGATTAGCATTGGTTGTACCACCAATCGAACTCATCAGGAACACTAGGCAGCATAGATACAACTTCACTGTTGCAAGCCCTTGTTAGATTAATTGTCGCTCTCTAGCAATCTTTGGTATCACTAATGCCCTTCTCGTTCACAAGTTTGGCTTCAACCCTGTGGTCATGAAGATGGAAAGCGGACTACAGCTACAAGCTGGAGCATTTATTCTAGGCGTGCTAGCTCACAGCCTCTACTTTCGCTCTGGCGAACACCATCTCTATCCGATTCGGTATCTCTACACATATGGTGGCTTGTCGATACTAATTGCTGCAACGATTCATTATGCACAAAAAAGCTCATTTACTCGAGCAAGCACCGCATCTCTGAGCCTAATATCTACACATCTGCTGGGCCTATACTGCAGCCTCATCATTTACAGGATGTTTCTTCATCCGTTAGGACAGTTTCGCGGCCCCCTAGGTGCACGTCTATCTGGGTTTTGGCTACCAGCAAAGCTTCTTCACCAACCCCTCTACCAGGTCCTCGAAGAGTTGCATAAGGAGTACGGACAATTTGTGCGCATAGGCCCGTCTGATCTCTCCATAATCCACCCCGATGCCGTGAATATCATCTATGGATTTAAGTCCGCCTGCACTAAAGCGCCCTTCTATGACCTCGGTGCACCAGTGCAATCGCTACATGCATATCGAGATAAGGAAGCTCATGATCAACGACGGAGAGTATGGAGTCTGGGCTTCAGTGATAAATCACTTCGAGCATACGAGAAACGCATTCAAGTCTACCGAGAAAAGCTGATCAACCTCTTAACATCAGCCGGTGATGGTCAAGCTATCAACATCAGCAATTATCTCACATGGTACAGCTACGATGTGATGGGCGACTTAGCTTTCGGTAGAACTTTCGGCATGTTAGATGCTAGTGCCAACCACTGGGCAATACAGATATTGAATGATATGCTCAAGCCGTTGGAATACTCCGTGCCTATTTGGGCCCTTCGGCTGCTGGGCTCGATACCGGGGATGAACAAGGATGCCTTGAGATATGAGGAGTTTAGCCATCAGCGCTTGAAGACGAGAATGAGGGTATTGTCTTTGAGGCTTTTTCTGCTGTTTTATGCTCGGGTAAATTGCTCATGCTTTTAGGAAACGCCCGAAATACCCGATATCAGCTCGTCGCTGCTCGTGGAGTTGCAAGGACGAGTACCTACAACTAAAGAATTCTATCAGTTACTTGGGGATGTTGAATTGATAATTGCAGCAGGGAGGTATGCAGCTATTCGAAGTTATTTTTTCTAGCAATACAGGCTCACAAGTGAACGATAGTGACACTACCGCGGCAGCTCTAATCACCGTTATCTACGAGCTGGCCAAACACCCAGTACACGTAAAGATGATCCGCGAGGAGCTAAGCCTATGTGCTGTCGAGCCTAGCGGAGAGTATATGCACGAGAAAATAGCAGGTCTAAGACATCTCAATGGGTTTATCAACGAGGTGCTCCGTCTACATCCTCCAATTGGAAGCATTATTCCTAGAAAGACACCACCGGAGGGTATCATGATCGGTGACACCTACATACCAGGAAACATGACAGTCTCTTGCCCGCAATGGGTTATTGGAAGATGTAAGTGGAAAATATAATTCCCCCAGTCCGACAAAGCGAATGCTTACCTTTCTAGCCGATGTCTTCTACCAGAATGCAAATCGGCTCCTTCCTGAGAGGTGGTACAAATACCCTGAGGCGATGAAGTATAAATCTGCCTATGCACCTTTTTTACTCGGTGGGTTATATCTTGTTGCTGAATCTGCCAATATTCTGAGGGAGGCGCTACCGCCACACCAGCCAGGCTTCCTCCACACCGGCCTTCGCTCATGCCTATTCTGATCACGCCTGTAAGTGCGAATCTGACTATTTCAAGGCCCCTACGCATGCATCGGCAAGCCGCTAGCACTCATGAACATGAGGACAACTGTTGCCCGTATAACAATGACATTTGATTTGCAATTGCCATCGAACGATGACGGCACATTGCTCGATAAGAATATGAGGGAACATTTCTCTAGCTACGTCGAAGGCGTCTACGTCCTCTTTAAGAAGTTGCAGACAAATCAATTGTCAAGACAAGGGGTCAAAGATATATTGATTTGATCTATCTAGATCTCAAGGGGCTGGGTGGTTGGTTGGTTGGAAGAGGTGGTGGTCGGAGACCACGCAGGAAGAAGAGGCGAAGGATCAGCTGACAGCTGCCTGGAAACGTGCAGAAGCGTCTTGTTGTTTGTAAGTGTCTGATAACGAAGATGATCTAAATACATGCAGTAAAACGGGTGAAGAAGATGTTGTGCTCGAGACCTCCCTCCCAAATGGGAAGGTGCCCGTGGCATATTGAGCACTAACTCTGCACTGGACAATTCGATTCACGAATTCAGTCCCATAAAACCAGCCATCATGTAAAAGGCGGTATCAGTCTTTTACACGAGACCCTTAATTTCCGAGACCGCGGACTTAATCTTCTCGTCCAACTCTTTGGATAACTTGTAATCAGGGGCAAACGACTCTTGGCGTTCGGAGTCATGGCGTTCCAGAGTAGCTACTAAAGCTCTCCGAGCAGTGTCCCATTGTTCTGTCTTGACTTGAAGAGCTTCGTTATGTTCTCGCTCAAGTTCTTTGAGTCTGGTTATCTCTTCCCTCAACTCCTTCTTTCTTAACTTCTGTCCTTCAGTAAGGTCCCTTGTGGGGGGTAGAACCCCCTCTGGGATAACTATACCAGCATCCTCGAGGGCATCGATAATCTATAAAATTAGTTAATATCAAAATCTATCAATTCTCTGTATGATGCCATGTAGTATATTCTGCTGTTGCGGAATGACTATCAACTGGACAATTGGGATTACGTACCCGATAAAAAGTGCAGTAATAATCTTCAGACCAGGTTCTTGAGCTCCATAACGACATCCTTGATCTCGGAGTCAACATCAGCCAATCTCTTCTCGTCCAGCTCGATATTGGTCTTATACGACTCATCGAGAGCCACAAGTTGGTCCACTAACTCCTTTCTTGAGGAAGTCCATTCGTCTTTCTTGCGATTCAACTCCTCACGATATTCGTCCTCCAAGAACTTCAGTCTATGCAGCTCATCACGCAACTCCTTCTTGCGGAGCTTCTGGGCTGGTGTGAGATTTCTCGTGACCGGCAGCACGCCGGCCGGTACTTGGACATTCGCGTCCTCCAGAGCATCTAGTATCTATAAATTTAGTTAGTATCAATATCTATCAATAACATAGCAGTATGTCATCAAATCAATCATAATTAGACATAATCTTCTAATATAGAGAACTAACTTTAGACCGCTCGAGCTGTGCCCGAGTGGGCCCGCGAGGAGTGGGAGCAGCGGCGGTGGCTGGGGAATGTCTTTGGCAAATAGTCAGTAATGTATGTAATTGTCTTGAGAAAAGAACAGAAGATCAACACTCTTCTCGCTCATCACCAGAGTCAGAGTCCATCATGAGATAACTTACTACGTATTTTGATATGGGGGGGAAGGCAGGTTGTAGATGGCGAAGAGGAGAAGAGAAGAAAAGAGAAGGAGAAGACGAGGGAGAATTATATAGAAGATTGTGGGCCCTATACCCTGATGTCCCAAAAGGGTCAGGTCACGCTTCACACAAGGTGAATATCAGAGGGGTTGTCAATACAAATTACCATATTTGGATTCAGGCATCGGTCATCAATATGGTAATCGATACGAGACATACAGTCGACACGGGAGTAGCGAGATGCGTTCCCGAAAACAAAGTGAATTTCAGATAATTCACAAGCAAAACGGTGATGAGGTTAAGGACTCCGTTGCAAGGAAGCGTCCTTCACGTATTCTAGCCAAAAAAGTGGGTATCCTCCCAAATTCTTCATAACACTCATTCTTTTTCGCACAAAGCCAGAGGATAACTGTCTTTTTTGTGTATAGGCCGTAAAGGTCTTTGTCACGAAGCAACGTAAGTCTTAGTAAGACCGGCAAGTGCAATGGTAAATGGGACAAAGAGGCAACCACATGACTACCTAGCCTCTCCCTCCTAGCATCGTCAATTTTGTGTGCCTCATTAGATCATATTGCACTACGTGCTGCATCACTTCTTAAGTCCTTTGGGCGACAGCATCGATATCCATACTACCCATTATGTCGGATTCATCCCGCCAATATCATTACAACAACCAGTACGATGACCCACAGAACTACTATGGCCAGCAAGCTGCTGGATATAGTTACGGAGATACTCCTGGCAATTACCCTTCAGCGCAATACCAGCAAGGACAGCCTTCGCAGTACGCATACAATCAGGCCCCCGTATGTCTATCCAATATTGCCAATCCCGTATGCGCATGCCTCATGGGTCGTAGATAATCCGTGGAGATAGCAGCAAGCTAATTTGTTAGCCTACCATTAATCATGATGTGAATACATCCCCTGGCAGTCATCCTGCACAATATCAGCAAAGCTATGCACCTTCCTACGACGCAAGGCATTCAGATGGACATCGGCATGGGCAACCCACGTCCATGAGTTATGAGCAAAGCTCATCTTATCCACCACAGACTCAGCATCAGCAAGGCCAGAAGGTGTCTTATTATCAGACGCAGTCAGAGCCTGTTCCTACAACAAACACATCCGGAGGTAAAAAGGGGTTTGCACCGAATGTAGCCGGCATCATTAGTGGGGGCGCTTTAGGTCACAAGCTGGGAGGTGGGATGTTGGGTGTCGCAGGAGGTGCATTGGCAGGCGCTGCAGGCATGGAAATCGCAAGTAAACTGTAAGTCTGCCTGTGATGATGGCTGGCCTACGTACGCTGACATGTGCTTTCCCCAGACGCAAGAGGCATAAGAAGAAACACCATGGCAAGAGTTCCCGTCGTTCAAGCTCCAGTTCCAGCTCAAGCTCGAGTTCAAGTTCCTCTAGTGATGGCGATTAGTTTCGTGTGGTTCGCACCTTTATCCTTCTATGTTCGGTTTGTATTGAATGCGCCCTCGGGTGTTCGTTATCAGTTTCCAATTCAATTCAATTCAAATTGTTATACCCGATCGAGCCGTCTTCTAGCTATACAGGTGCTTCACCGATTGAAGCAAAGGATATGGCCCGGAACGCCCTCGAGCCCCTCAAATTCGCAGTAAACACACAAAGCAACGCATGCCCCAACGTAGGAAAGTCATGGCCGTAGCAAACACAACTAAATCACAGGAAATCATAAAAGCAAGCAAAGTGAATTCATACAAAAGCAGATATAAATGAGTGGCGCAGCTGGCCAACTATCCCGGGCTAGCCTCTGCCTGCGGCCTGCGAGCCGCATCCACCCCATTCTTCGTCGTTTATGTTCGTTATTAGTGGTAGGGCACATTTCAATGTATGCGTAAACCAAATTGTCCAGTCGATAGTCAGTCCACAATGGCAGAATATTCTACATGGCATCATACGGAGAATGACTATGTAATGTTGAGACATTCGCTCCAGCCAGGATCGGCTACCTTTTCCAACTGTCCAACCCAATCTCTTGAGAGCAGGTAGATCAGATGCATTTGCCCCTTCGCCTTGACATGTAATGATAGAAAGGTCAGTATGTAGCAGTGTCTCATACGCTCCAGTGTAACAATGAAGGGAAAAGCTACACCATCATGACATCGTCGCAGAGGTCAGTTGGCGGAGGCAAATATAGAAAGGGAAAAAAGAAATTCGAATGCATCATCCGTGAATCGAACACGGGCCTCATCGATGGCAACGATGAATTCTACCACTAGACCAATGATGCTGTTCATATCTAAACCCTCTATATTTTTGCTAGTTATTCCAATGCTGTGCTGAGCAGTCCTCATGATACAACCACACAAATCGATCGAACAACCCATATCATTTAGTTAGCAAATGTCTCGATCTCTTGATATTTCCTCGTATCTAAGTTGACATACATCCTCAGCAAAATAACGCGTTATACTGCGACCATACGATTATCTTCATCAAGTGCAATGACTAACTACAATGAACGGGTCTCGTCAGTTGGACTCGGGATTTATGGTATATTGGTACTAGATCACGACATATCGAGAAACGTCGTCATGTGTCCTCGCCATGCCCTAATTGTATCACGGAGATAACTTCAAGCCATGACAGCATGGGACGGCATGAGTCGGTCAAAGGCCAGACCTGTGTAAGTATAGCTCTTGCGCTTCGTCAACATTCCTGACGCAGTTCTGAGGCGGGAATCACGCACGCTACGTCCCAAGCAGGTAACACGGGTTAAATTTCATCAGGAGCCTGAAATTGATGTAGACTGAGACAGGTGAGAGCATGATTACTATATCTGTGTGGCCCTCTCTACTAACAGTGCTACGGTAAAACAGACGCGACGCAATTGTCTGATAGCAGGTCTAGATTGATGTCCAGAATATAGTAAGAAGTAATTCCCTCTACCAAGGGCGCTGAGGGTTAACACCCGGGGCAACACCCAAAAGGGATAGTAATGGTTACTAATGACTCATCATGAGATAACCATGATGGTTAGTGAAGGTAGAGAGACAATTTGTGTCTGCCAAATACTTTTAAGGGTACTTTGCCATCTCGCGAAGAGAGGAGAAGAGTATTGGATGTGCACTGTAGAGACTGTGAGGTGTCGGTAGAAAAACAACGTGTCGACCCACATCATGGGCGAATAGCGCTCACGAGTTTAAAGAAGGTTCCTACTTCCACCATTGTTGTGGCAATAGCGTGGTTGGTTGCAAGTTGCCACTACAGATTTGGATATTTTCGCGGGGGATAAGAAATGGAAGGGGATCCGGAGAAAATTGAACTCAAAATTCGATAGCCGATAAGAGCGATAAGAGGGGGGCCCCCGTATTCTGAAGACTGACGGTGCACATCATAAGGCACGGTTCTCGGGTTGGCTGAGGCGGCAGGCCTGGATGTCACTTTGAAGAAGGGCTGTAAAGTTACTTGGTCTCAACATGCCAATTGGCAACATAACGTAAAGAAAAGTAAATATAGCCAGTTATATTTGAATGCGGTGAGAAAAGCCTGAGTTAGACAAATGGCGGTGATGCGTCGACTCCTGCAATGAGCCATTGTTTCAGGCGTGTGTTTGCGACGCTTAAACCCCGGAATTATGCCTGAGAGTGTTTAGTCGCCTATCCCTTTGTGTTTGGCAATAATAAGGCATCCATGACTCTCTGGGGAACAATCTCCGGGCGCAAAAGTATAATGCTCCTTTTCTCGACAACATGGTTATGCTTCGGGCAGGATTTTCCCAGGCCTGCCTGCATCTAACCACAAAATGCATCTACAAACCACCATCCAAATCATGATGGCGCTGCATGTTGGCACATACCTTGATAATGTCCTTGACACGCCATGAATCCGGGGGTGCAACATCCTGAGAGATAGACTGATAATAATCTACTGCGGCCGGCTAGTCTCCGCCCCTCCGTGTCATCATGGCTTGGCTGGCCCTGCAGATGCTGCTGCTTTCATGCCGGTCGCCACCTCTGATCATTCCCGGGGTGAAGTGGCGCAGCCCCCCTTCGAGACAGAAAGACTTCAGGAAAGGGATAACAGAAGGGGGTAAAATAAAAAATCATAATAATGAAAACTCTACTAAGTTAGAGTTACCAAGAGCCATGGCCCGGAGCCAGATCGTTCTCCGTTTTCGCCCGTCAGCCTGGACCGGCTCATGGTATGAATAACTAATGGCTATTGATGACTGGCTAGTCTGAAGAGTAAGTACTGAATTGTCCTCACAGCATTGCTACGCTGGCATACACATGTGAAGATGTTCGCTCCGCCATAAGCGATGAAAGCCTGACAATAATCTCCCCAGACTTGGGATGGACAACGGTAGGGAGGATTCTGCGACGTTCCAAGTATCCTCAGAAGTAACAATAAGGGGGAGAAAGGGTGGTACAGAAACCGGCTGTGCTCAAGACCCTCTCAGCCCTGTCAAAGAAAGGGGCAACTTGATGATGCTTGCAAATGGCTCGATGATCTGAAAGGGGATTGGCTGGCAGCCCATCCCATATGTTACAAAGTAGTAGAAAGTATGTAAAAATAATCACAATCCCTCTTGACGGGGTAATATCGGTCGGGGAAGGCTATCCATGATTCTCCAAGATATCCGCTCCCACTGCTCCATCTCCGCTGATTCCCGCACGGAAAAGAGTCGGGACGATCACCAGGAAGGCGATGGCCAGGAATAACCTTCAAAGATCCATGATGGCAGCGGGCAGACCGTGAGGATGGAGCGAACCTGATGGTTGAGCAGCAACCAGGGCAACCTTGGCTGAGGGTTCAACGCGGCTGACTCAGCGAAAACGGAAATCCAGCCAATCAGCGGCTGCATATAGAGTCATTCACGAGCCACGGTTGGTTGCTTCGACAGCCCATCGCCGCTACACCGGAAACGAAGTTAGTGCGGGACAAATTCTAAGGAACAGCGAAAATTTTTTCATTAAAAGAGATTTTCTGGGACTGGCGGCGGGACTGAAAAAAGTTGGGCGGCGAAACGCAGGCCACAAAGCGATAAATATCACTTTCCTCCACCCACCTTCGCTTCCCCCCCCTCCTCCCTCCCTTTTTCTCCCCATCCTTCATCTCTCTCTTCTAAGAGGTTTGCTCCTCTATCTTAAAAATTTGTTTTGTTTTTTGTCGTTTCTCGGACAAAAAAATAGATTTCGCCTGTGCGGCCGTGTTAGAGCGTTTGCTGCGTGCTGTGAAATTTTCCAGACGCGGTTTCGTGGGCCCGCCACCTCTTATCGAGATACCCTAATAGAACGCTTTCCACCCGTTCTCGCTTCTTTTCTCCTCCTTTTTCTTCTTCCTTTTTCTTCTCTCCGACGTTACGACATCGTCTTTCACGATCAAAATGCCTGCTGTTGATGTTTCGTCCGTTCCTGCTGTCTCCGGCAAGGAGACTGCTCAGTCTGTCGCTGTCCTTGAGGACCTCATCAAGAACCTCAACATCTCGTCCTCCCAGGATGAGGTGAACGCTGCTGCCGACAACCTGGCCCACCTGTTCAGCGGCCCTATCCCCGAGCAGGCTCTCCCTCTCAAGTATGTATAACCTGCAGAATACCCCGCTCTGCCGTCTAGGTGGTCGGTGGCGGATGGCTAACATGAAAAATTTTCAGGGCTGTCGAGACCTTCCAGAAGCAGCTCAGCAACAAGAAGGATGCTGTTGTCCGTGAGCGTGCCTGCGAGGGTATCCGTGCTATTGCCTCCCACGCCACCATCGCTCCTGGTGTCGAGCCTCACCTCGTCACCCTCCTCGGCCCCGTCCTTGCCGCCGTCGGTGACAAGATGGTTCCCGTCAAGAACGCCGCCCAGGGTGCTGCCCTCGCCATCGTGAAGGGTGTCAACGGCAACGCCGTCAAGGCTGTCCTTCCCCCCGTCCTCGAGTCCCTCGCCAACGCCCAGAAGTGGCAGGAGAAGCTGGCTGCTCTCGAGTGCATCAACGCTCTCGTCGAGACTGCCCCCGCTCAGCTCTCTTTCCGTGTCCCCGAGCTCATCCCCGTTGTCTCTGAGGCCATGTGGGACACCAAGGCCGACATCAAGAAGGCTGCCTACGCTACCATGGAGAAGGTCTGCGGTTTGATCGTCAACAAGGATATTGAGCGTTTCATTCCCGAGCTCATCAAGTGTATCGCCAAGCCCGAGAACGTCCCCGAGACCGTTCACTTGCTCGGTGCTACCACTTTCGTCTCCGATGTCACCGGACCCACCCTCGCCATCATGGTCCCCCTGCTGGACCGTGGTCTGGTTGAGCGTGAGACTGCCATCAAGCGTAAGTCCGCTGTCATCGTTGACAACATGTGTAAGCTCGTGGAGGACCCCCAGATTGTCGCTCCCTTCTTGCCCAAGTTGATGCCCCGTCTTGAGAAGAACTACGAGACTCTGGCCGACCCCGAGGCTCGTGGTAAGACCAAGCAGGGTCTGGACACCCTGTGCCGTGTCGGTGATGTCAAGAACGGCAAGATCCCCGAGATCTCCACCGCTGGTGACATCTCCACCGTCTCCGCTATCCTCAAGGAGATCCTCTCTTCCAAGTTCTCCGCCCAGGCTGAGAAGGCCGAGTCCGTCATCACCTACGTTGCTGCCATCGCTGGTCAGCTCGTCGACGAGAAGGACGCCGAGGTCACCAGCTGGACCCAGAACGCCCTTCCCTACATCGCTGCCATCGTTGGTGACGAGGAGGCCAAGCCCATCGTCGAGACCCTCCGCAAGCGCGCCTCCCCCGGTGCCGCTGCTGAGGATGAGGTTCTCTCCGACGAAGAGGAGGGTGAGGATCTGTGCAACTGCACTTTCTCCCTGGCCTACGGTGCCAAGATTCTGCTGAACCAGACCAGCCTCCGCCTCAAGCGTGGTCAGCGTTACGGTCTGCTCGGCCCCAACGGTACCGGTAAGACCACTCTCATGCGTGCCATCAACAACGAGCAGCTTGAGGGCTTCCCCAAGAAGGATGAGGTCAAGACCGTCTACGTTGAGCACGACTTGGATGCCGCCGATACTGAGCAGACCGTCATTGGCTGGACCATCAAGAAGCTCCGCGAGGTCGGTGTCGAGACCAGCCAGGAGGACGTCGAGGCCAAGCTCGAGGAGTTCGGTTTCCTGCGTGAGCAGTTCGAGGGTCCCATCACCTCCCTCTCCGGTGGATGGAAGATGAAGCTGGCTCTGGCCCGTGCCGTGTTCGAGTCCCCCGATATCCTGCTGCTCGACGAGCCTACCAACCACTTGGACGTCAAGAACGTCGCCTGGTTGGAGAACTACCTGTGCACCTCTCCCTGCACTTCCATCATCGTCTCCCACGACAGCAAGTTCTTGGACAACGTCATCCAGCACGTCGTCCACTACGAGCGCTTCAAGCTTAAGCGTTACCGTGGTAACCTGAGCGAGTTCGTCAAGCGTGTCCCCTCTGCTCGCTCCTACTACGAGCTGGGTGCCTCCGAGCTCGAGTTCAAGTTCCCCGAGCCCGGTTTCCTTGAGGGTGTCAAGACCAAGGCCAAGGCCATCATCCGTGTCAACAACATGTCCTTCCAGTACCCCAACACCCCCAAGCCCCAGCTCACCGACATCTCCTTCCAGGTCTCCCTGGGCTCTCGTATTGCCGTCATCGGTCCCAACGGTGCTGGTAAATCCACCCTGGTCAACGTCCTGACCGGTGAGTTGATCCCCACCTCCGGTGACGTCTACCAGCACGAGAACATCCGTATCGCCTACATCAAGCAGCACGCTTTCGCTCACATTGATAACCACCTCGACTCCACTCCCTCCGAGTACATCCAGTGGCGTTTCCAGACCGGTGAGGATCGTGAGACCATGGACCGTGCCAACAAGATCGTCACCGACGAGGATGAGAAGGCCATGGACAAGATCTACAAGATCGAGGGCCAGCCCCGTCGTGTCATTGGTATCCACGCTCGTCGTAAGTTCAAGAACAGCTACGAATACGAGTGTTCGTTCTCGCTGGGTGAGAACATCGGCATGAAGAGCGAGCGCTGGACTCCCATGATGACCACCGACAACGCCTGGATTCCCCGTAACGAGATCATGCAGTCCCACGCCAAGATGGTTGCCGAGGTTGATCAGAAGGAGGCTCTTGCCAGCGGTCAGTTCCGTCCTCTGGTCCGTAAGGAGATTGAGGCCCACTGCGAGCAGTTCGGTCTCGATGCTGAGCTGGTCTCCCACTCCCGCATGCGCGGTCTGTCCGGTGGTCAGCGTGTCAAGGTCGTCCTTGCCGCCTGCTCTTGGCAGCGTCCTCACGTCATCGTTCTGGACGAGCCTACTAACTACCTGGACCGTGACTCTCTCGGTGCTCTGTCCAAGGCTCTGAAGAGCTTCGAGGGTGGTGTTATCATCATCACTCACTCCCGTGAGTTCACTGAGAACCTCACCGAGGAAGTCTGGGCCGTCGTTGACGGTAAGATGACTCCTTCCGGTCACAACTGGGTTCAGGGACAAGGTTCCGGTCCCCGTCTTGAGGCCAAGGATGGTCCCGAGGAGGTCGTCGATGCCATGGGCAACAAGGTCAGTTCAAACCCCCGTTTCTCAGATCGTTTGAAGCTTTTCGAGTCTTATACTAACTCTGCTTACAGACCGTTGTTGAAAAGAAGAAGAAGCTCACTTCTGCTGAGCTTAGAAAGAAGAGAAAGGAGCGTATGGCTAGAAAGAAGCGTGGCGAGGAGGTTTCTGACGACGAGGAGTTCTAAACACGAGGTTATAGCTCGTTTGGATGATTTTTATAGAGGTTACGGTCGTATGAAATCAAAATTCGCTTAATGACCAATCTTGGGCTTTACAAGTAATAATAAGCTGATATAAAGATGCAGCAATGCCTGTAGAATCGTAAGACATGTTTATTTTGCGATTTACTTTGATAATGCGCTGAAAAATAAGATTTCGTTGCAACCCATCTGCCGATGCGGGCTTGCCAAGACTTGGTGTTGAGGTTGGGGTGAGGCTCATGATGGCGGTGAGGGATGGCAGAATTCGGACTTTATCAGCCGAGCCTCACCACACCATACCACCCCACTCTCTTTCTTCTACATAATCAAGCGATGCACATCTATCTAAAGTATCAGTCGATGTCTTGAGAAGCTTCATCGTCATCAATATCTTACGTCAAGACATTGCAAAGCATTCTACTCCTAAGCATTTTTACTTAAGCAATCTCTACTAACCGGTACTATTACTACTGTACTACTCCTAGATATGTAGTATTCAGAAATCTTCAAGTTACCAAGTATGCTCTGCTAGGTTAAGCGATCACTTCACAGATGACTCTCAATGAAGCATACCATGAAGTGACCCAGCGAATTATTTGATCATGATATCTTGCGATACTCGAGGTTCTACCGCAGGTAGACATATCACCCGACCCTGTGCCTTTGTACCCTCTTCCTATTGCTTCATCTTCTTATCCTTGTATACTCATCTTCCTGGATTTGAAGTGATATATGCACTCTGATAAGCTATCATCCCTTTACCTTCATAGACTGTTACGAGCTTTATTCTTGATGCTTCTAGGCCTGCGTCCTGTTCCTCGAGCAGTTAGTGGTTCCTATGAGCTCCATTGATGATTCCACGCTTGACCTCATTACTATCGCCCAGACGGAAAATACACAGGATGAACCAAGTGAAGACCGACCGAACTCATAGTCCGATATCTTGGTCGATCTGACTCTGGTGAATCAGGTCCTAGTATAGATCTGCATCTGCACTTGGATTTTTATGTGACTCAGCCCCTTATCATTCAGTAAGACTACACCACCCAGAGACTTTCTTCTTACCCTTATTACTCAGTTTATGCGCTCTGTGCATTGCGGATGGGAATATCCACGTACATAGACACTTCACCGGACCCTTCGCCTGCTATGTAGCTACATTCTCCGACCCTTCGCCACCGTCTTCCTAATTTGCCTCTCTTCAGACATAGCTTCCGATCCCACGCATGCCAGAGCCCTAGAACATTTACCGGTGCCTGGTGCCTGGTCTGGCGCACGTATCCTTCTAATGAACGTTTCTTAGGGCTGTCTTTCCCGATCTGGAAGCACGCCGTTACAGCCTGGCCGGAGCCTCATTTTGAGCCGCCATTTATTTCAACCTCTTTCCCGCTCGCATGTCTGTAGCCAAAGGCGGGAAGATCTTACTGGTATTGTTTGACGCATAGAGGAGGCGTCTGAATGAACTCAATATGAGTACATTTCCTACTACTAGTGGATGTTCGGGGAACATCATCGACACGAAAATACGGGAATGGGCATATTAACGCCCGAAAGTCTGCAGTGGTCTTTACGAAAGGGACTTTTTCATGCAGCCCACTGAGATAACGGCGTTGCGAAATGATACAAAAATTACTATCAACAGTCTATTGGCCACATTAAGGCCCACCTTACAATGATCAGGCGAGTTGTTACTACCGCATCATGTCATCAGCAATTAAGTCCCAAAAAGGCAGGCTGCATATGACAAATTGCATTGCCCCGATGAATAAGAAGTCCAGATACCATCCGACAACGATCTGTACCTACGTACGATGCAAAGTGCCATACGGATGGCAAGTTTGTCGCGACTAAAGGAAAGGACGACAATCCCAGACTAAAGCAGACCATTAAGACCAAATGGTTATGACTGTTCTAATTCAAGGACTATATGATAACATGGACAGGAGGAAGCTGACGAGAGAGGTATTCTATCAGAAAAGGGGGTTTGATATCGGAAGAGCAGTATAACGGTACCCCAGAACAGTTATTTACGAAGAGGCCGTTAGTCCAAACGGATTTCTGACATGAAAAATGCACTGATGCAGAAGTTCACATTGAACCATCGCGAACCTTAAGAAGCAAATCAGCAGGCTTGCAATACGTATTTGATTGCGCGCAGTCAGCAACTTTTCTGGTACAGCCTATTCAATTTTCTACCCGGCATAAAAGAAACTAGGCAACTGGAAACCGCTCTTTCTGTTATCTAAGCACTCATCTTTACCATCTAGTAACAAGCGAATATTTGTCCGGCATACTTCAAGATGGTAAATGAATTGAAGAAAGAGTCCGCACTCGGTCAGTGACAGAGTAACAACAACCATTAAGTGCCCTTCCTCACACAGCAAGCGGTTCCTAATTCTACGATACTTCGTACAGCAGGAAAAACTAATGAAAACAACAATAACAGGCAACGAAGCCTAACAATAAATAAATCTTTGAATTTCACAACAGCGTCTGTGGATATTGGAATTTAGGAGAGGGTAATATCTTAGCTTTCATTATGCTGGGATATGTACTGACTATGAAAGATTGCGTTGAAACTATCGGCTGATCTCCTGTCTCTCGTATTTCTATGGTTCCATAGGCCACATTCGTGCGAATAGAGCAAGTCAGCGGGCTTTCGAATGATTTAAACTGTGGGATCATCGATATGGGGTCTTTGACGGTAGGAGATGTTGAGGAACAGCTCTAGTTACAAATTCTTAGCCTCAATAGGTACGCGAGTGCTACAAGAACTAATTTTGTGCATTAGAGGTCATATCGAAGAAGAACAAATTTTCACCAAGACATTGAAGAAGAACTTCTACCGTATACCTCAACATGTGGTTTATTATAGGATCTTGGAACAGGGAACCAGAATATTTTTTACTAATATACATTGTCCGGATCGAGTAATCAGAAAGGGTAGTGACACCCAACGATGTAAAAATATCTGCAAAGCAATACAACATAGCAATGGGAGATTCTCTAAAAAAAGACAGGTATGCTGGAATATGACAGCTGGTGCAGTCCGGCTGGAGGCCTTGAGGCAGTAAGTATGGGAAAAAAAACGCTGATATCCGTTCTGGATACCATCAAATTGGGTCAGTTACTAAGCTGGATTCTCCTAGGAGTGCCTGCAGGAGAGCATACAGAAGCAGGGAGGTTCACGTCTTGATGATGCTGCCAGTCCAGCAGCAGATCTAGTATATAAAGATAATCAGGATGGAGTAACTCTACTCTCTTACGCGAACCTCCCTGCTTCTGTATGCTCTCCTGCAGGCACTCCTAGGAGAATCCAGCTTAGTAACTGACCCAATTTGATGGTATCCAGAACGGATATCAGCGTGTTTTCCCCCACACTTATTGCCTCAAGGCCTCCCGCTCGGAGGGAGTAAAGCAGTCAGAGGGTCAAAGGGACTGTGAATTATGTGATGGTAAGCACTCTAGTGGGAGACCTACATGACATCGAAGGCAAAGGAGAGGCAAAAAATGTAAAATATCACCAACTCTCTATCCACAGAGACTTCTTAACGGAATATGATGCGACTTCGAAGAAATTGGCAATAGACGAGGGCGGCAAGCACAAGAAATTATGGGATTGAAGCTTCGTGGCACAGCTCGTCTGCATGCGGAGTATTAAAAATTTTCTATACAAACTGAACGACTGATTCTCGAAAAGGGGCTTAAGCAATTGATCATACACTTTAATTTCATCGAGTCATCCCCGAAAGTAGTCCGAAGCTGGACAAGATAAAACTGATTTTTCTGCAGTAATTGCTAGGGCTCGGGATCTCATTGGCTCGGAATAAAACTAGTTTCGGAGTTGAAGTCTCGTGTATCGGAGTCGGAATAGCAACATCTCTTACGGTCCTCGACTTCAGGCAGCATTCTAGACTTCACTCTAGCCATAGCTAATATAATTTGGACTATCATAGAGCATGTGTCAGATTCTGCCTGCTCAAGGCAGTGGCTTTGTCTGTCTGGGTCACACGCGGTACAACCTTAGGCATTGACTCATCGCAGGCTCGGCGCGCCTTAACAAGGTCTACTAAGGCTAATTTACCCCAAAGCCACATCGAGACCAGTCCGACCATGCTGTTTTAGTACCCCGACTGATTGCCCTGGACCGTATTCCGGGCCACATCCCACTCTCATGCAAAGTCAAAGGGCGTCGTCACCCATTTTTCAACAATATCAGGCAGATCTTGACCTCCATTCCTTCACGAGTCAGAGAGCGGCGCTCCCAATGGCGGCCACCGCACTGGGTTAGCGCCTCGTGTTGGCACCCAACCACACGCCCTTCGCTCCTTGGTATGCGGCCTACCGCATCATGGGTGGGCCACACCGAGCAATGACTTGCGCTGATGATTCACCAGGATAAGTGCAGTCTAAACTAAGCATCTGACTATGTAGGATGTTGTCCGATTGCTAAGCCTCGAGCTTTCCTCAGACGTCAGGGTGGGTCGTCGTGGATTTTACTCCGTGGGCTTCGGACTAAATCCATCATCACGGAATGGATGAATGCATCAGTATATAAGGACCGTGGAAGCCACCTGGTAGCCTTGCTTCGTATACTTCAGATCTTAACTACCAAAGAACCTTCTAGATCATTTGTGACTGCTCATACTCATCATTACTGTCCTACTTGACTCTTTATACAACCACTACTACTCCAACTGAGCTATACATCCATCCAGACTGTCGAACAGTACCACCGACAGAACCATCCACATCATTCCCAAGAAATTCAGAAGCACATCTGAAGCCATGCCTGAATCAGTCAAATCTACCTCCACCCTCGACGACGCTTCGTCCAGCTACAGCGTCTCCTCCACCGCATCAACCTTGAAAGACCTCAAAGCCACGAGCAAGAAGTGGCTACCTAGCAAAGCGAAGAAGGAGGAGACCAAGTCATCTCCACCTAAGCCTACCTCGCCTAAGCCTGCCAAAGAAAAGAGCCGTGCCCCGTCCACCAACTACACAACACTCGCTACATACCTGTCATTGAAATGATGGCATATCTGCAGTTGGGTGCTGGTCATACAACATGGATGAGGAGGAAGGAGGATATCAACCATAACGAGGATATGCATGTGCTTTTTATAGACTCTGATTATTTGCTGGGTTTGTGCTATGATGATGGCGTTGGAGTTGGGTAACAGCTGCTTTGATGGACTTCTTGTTATACGACTAGGAAAGATTGATGCTTGTGTTATTACAAACCTAATCAGCTGTTTAATCCTTTAATTCCTAATTTAAAATCCATCATTTGCTCTTCCATTCATCTAGATTCTCATTTTATTCATTTTGTATAGATCTAGGGTCCGCACACCCACTAGGCTACTAAGGGCCATTAATTAATCGGGACTAGCGCGTCCGCGGCGCGTCGCACGCGTCGCAAATCAACTCCATCAATCTATCATTGCATCCATCAGCCCACTCGACAATATCGATTCGGGACGGAGTCGACACTCCTCAATACACACTATCATTTCAAATAATTGCAGACTCGCTTTGATGACGACGTCGCCCCCGTCCATCCCTCCCTCCTTCGATCCGGCCATCCATCTTCACTCCGAGGGAGACCCTCCCGAACCCCCCTCCGATACCTTCTCCGACGAGCTCGAGGCATTGAACTTCCAACGGGAAGATAATACGCGCAAAGGAATAGTTATTCAGCACCGGTCGTGGAATCTATCTGATGTCTTCCGCAGTGACGAGGATATAAGGCCTGGTAGACCCGACGATCCAGAGTGTTGAGTATAACAACTGATTGAGATCAGATACTCCGACACGAACTTCTAAGCGGAAGAACATCTACTCTCCTATTCGAACACTCGCCTTATTACCATCTTCTCCACCTACTATCATAATGCCCCTCATTGCATCCCCCGCTCCCTTCCCGTCGAGCGCTCCGTCGCCGGAGTCGCAGAAAAGAAAGAATGAAGAACAATCGCAAAGTGAAGAGGCCAAGCGGCAGAAGATTATGGGCGGGTTCTTGGATGAAGCGGATGATGATGATGACTGGGATGCCTTCAACGATGCGCAACTAAGGAGCGAGTTCCAGGTGCAAGAAGATATAATCCAGCAACCGCCTGTTGAACTACCTGAGATCCCGAGGCCATCTCAGGTGCCAACAGAATCGACTCCCAAGCCAGCATCTACTGCGCCAGACCTTGATCGCACTCCCGTTCCGGAGCCGAGCACGATTACGTCGCTTCCCTCGCGAAGGCCATATCGATCAATACAGATTAAAACCTGCTCGGGCAAGACACACCATGTTTCATTGAAGAGGCCCGCACCCCGTGTCAGCTACGAAAGACTAGTGGCTGGTCGCTCCGTTACAGCACCCGGAAGGGCTCAAAAGAGCTACTACGGTATCGATATCCACAAGCTTCTCGATGAAGCAGCGAATGAGCCGGAGGCTCCCCCGGTCGAGACACGACCTGCCCCAGTGGTACAGCCGTCTATTGAAGCCCCGATCCACGATCAGAGGAGCGCAAAGCTAGCTGCAGCCATGTGGACTGAGAAGTACCGCGCACGAAAGTTCACGGAACTGATCGGAGACGAGCGCACACATAGATCGGTTCTGCGGTGGCTGAAAGCTTGGGAACCCATCGTCTTTCCCAATATCGCTAGGGCAAAGGCAAAGAAACCGTTCAACGGCAAAGATGAAGAGGAACGGACGCATCGAAAGGTCCTACTGCTATGCGGACCGCCAGGTCTAGGAAAGACTACCCTAGCACATGTATGTGCTCGACAGGCTGGTTACGAAGTGCTAGAAATCAACGCGAGTGATGATCGAAGCAAGGATGTGGTAAAAGGCAGGATTCGCGATTCCCTGGGCACGGAGAACGTCAAGGGCATGAACGTGGAGGTTGGCGAGGAAAAGGTACGCAAGGCAGGACGGCCTGTTTGTGTCGTCGTTGACGAAGTAGACGGCGTCGTCAGCGGATCTGGAGGCGGTGGTGAGGGTGGTTTTATGAAGGCCTTGATTGATCTGGTCCTACTGGACCAGAAGAATTCGTCAGGCGCTACTGAGCAGACCAAGGGCAGGAAGAAGAAGGGCGACAACTTCCGTTTCTTACGGCCGCTGATCATGGTCTGCAATGATGTCTACCATCCTAGTCTACGACCACTGCGTGCGGCCTCGGTTGCAGAGATCATCCATGTCCGCCAAGCACCGTTGGAGAACGTCGTCACACGCATGAAGCGGATCTTCACCGTCGAAGGCATTCCATCCGACAATGATGGCGTCCGACGGCTCTGTGAAGCCTCCTGGGGCCTTGCTCGGCGCAAACAAGGAGGCGTCAAGAGCAGCGGAACAGCAGAGGGCGACATCCGCAGTGTGCTCGTTGCAGCAGAATGGGTGGCCCATAAGCTAAGAAACGAATGTCCATCTACTCTACGACTGACACGAAGCTGGTTGGAGCAAAAGGTTCTCAGCGCCAACAGTAGCGGCAGTGCCTTCTTCAAAGGCCTAAACCGCGGTGGTGTGCGCGATCTCATCGAGCGAGTCTTCACCGAAGGCGCCGGCTTCACAGATGCACCTGTTGGCGTCGACTCCTTCCGCGATCCCTTCTCCAATTCCGAGGACAAAGTACCAGTAGGTGTCGCTGACCTTCGGAAACGCCATGCCATCGAACGACTACGTGAAATGGTCGATGCTAGCGGCGAGCACGACCGCGCCGTGGCAGAGTGCTTTGCATCCTACCCGCTGCAAAGCTACCAAGACGACACCTTCCTCTCCAAACCCAACGCAGCCTACGACTGGTTACACTTCCACGACACCATGTCCTCCAAGGTCTACACCGCACAAGACTGGGAGCTGAGCGCCTACCTCAGCCAATCTGTCGTAGCATTCCACCACCTTTTCGCTACGGCTCAAGGCAAAGCCAAACCCCGGGAAGTCGACGACGAAGAAGAGGAACACCCATTTTCAGGTCCCCGAGCAGACTTTGCCGCCTACGAAGCGCAGAAACAGAACCGAGCCATCCTTACAGAATTCCAATCCGCATTCTCAGCCCCCTTATCCCGCCTATTCCGATCCACCGACTCCCTAGTCATCGACCTCATCCCGAACCTCGTCCGGATGCTCTCCCCGGACGTGAAACCAGTCGTCGTTCGCGGCAGCGGCGAGCAGCGCAGCGTAGCCAGCGTCCGCAAAGAGAGCGAGCGCACGCTCATCCAAGCCGCCGTCCGCGTAATGGCTGGTCTAGGCGTACGATTCGAGAAAGTGCGCATCGAGAACGCCGGAGCCCACGGAGGATGGGCCTACCGGATGGAACCGTATGCTCCCCATCCTTCCTCTCCCTACAACCCTATACAAACCCATACTAACCCCTGCACAGACCCCTCGACACCCTCATCACATTCTCCAAAACCAAATCCACCCCCACCGCCAGCGGCTCCGCCCCCGTCCGCTACGCGATCCGCCAAGTCCTGGACCAAGAATACCGCAAAGAGAACATCCGCAAGCAATCCGAAACACTCACAACTTCCAATATCGGCAAAAAGTCCTCCGGCAAGACCGCCGATGGACAATCCAAGGACGACGGCGATGCGAAGAAGACCGCACACGGGCCGAACGTGAAGCGCGACTTCTTCGGCAGAGTCATCAAGGAGCCCACACCACCACCGTCAGATGAGTCGCCCGAGACGGCGAAGCAGAATGAGACATTGAAGGCGGGCAGACGCGTCTGGGTGACATACCATGACGGGTTTTCGAATGCAGTCAGGAAACCGATTTCGATGGGCGAGTTGTTGGCGGAGTTGTAGGGTGCAGGGTAGAGGGTAATGTTTATGATTTGGCTTTGTGTATAACTTGATATCCGGTAGCTTATGTTTGAATGGTAGATAGTATTGCTACATTGAATTAAAGCGTTTATTTATTCGAGGAACTTCTATAGTTACAGTTGAATGATAGATTATAACTAACATATCGATCGATCACATGACCGTATCGATGATGGTCATGACTAAGCACGCCGCCAAGCCGGCAGAACGCGCGACCGCTTTCCCATGAATTTTTTTTTAATGATAGAAAAATATCCCCGAAATCGAGACCCATCGCGACATTTGCACTTGCACCAACTTTCCCCAAACATATCGCAACAATGGTGTCTTCGACGGCGCTAACGACGAAGGTGACTTCGGGGTCACCCTACCAGTTGGAGAAGACTCAGGTATGTCTACTTCCACCAATTTTCGTGCATGCACTGCATATCATAATTATATTCCTCATTACATATATCCACAAGATATCTTCAAAGAATAATACTAATAAATTCGAACAGGTCTCCCGCGCCTCCACGGCTCTTTTGAAACACATCGCGACCAAGCAAGACGAGAAAGAAAAGACGGCCACAAAGAAGACGCTTATCGGCGACAACGACGACAGCGACGCGGAAGAAGGCAGCGCTCTGCACAACGAAGCGATCTGGCTGGTCTTGACAACGAAGAAGCACATTGTGGACAAGAACCGTCTGAAGCCAGGCAAGATCCCGATTCCGCACAGCCTGAACGCCTCTCCCTCCCTCAGCATCTGTCTCATCACCGCGGACCCCCAGCGCAGCGTGAAGAACATCGTCACGGACCCGTCGTTCCCTGCACACTTGTCGTCGCGCATCCAGCGGGTAATCGGATACTCGAAGCTGAAGGATCGGTACAAGAGCTTCGAGAGCCGGAGACAGCTGCTCGCTGAACACGATGTGTTCCTGGCTGATGATCGGATTATCATGCGGTTGGTGAATACGCTCGGCAAGGTTTTCTACAAGAGTAGTAAGAGGCCGATTCCGGTGCGGATTGCGGAGATTGAGAAGGTGGATGGGAAGAAGGTGAAGAAGGATCCGAAGGTTCGGAATGCTAGGAAGGTGGAGGGTGAGGGGGATAAGGAGAGTGCGTTTGCGACGCCGGCGATTGTGGCTAAGGAGATTGAGAAGGCGTTGAATTGTGCGCCGGTTCATCTGGCGCCTGCTACGACGGCGGCCATCCGGGTTGGGTCGAGTAAGTTCTCGGCTAAGCAGGTCGCGGAGAATGTGGAGGCTGTTGTGAAGGGGTTGACAGAGAAGTTTGTCACCAAGGGGTGGAGGAATATTAAGGCGTTGCATATTAAGGGGGCTAATACGATGGCGATGCCGATTTGGTTGGCTAGTGAGTTGTGGGTTGAGGATGGGGATGTTGTTGAGGAGGAGGAGCAGACTCCTGCTGTTGAGGCGGGTAAGAAGCGCAAGCAGATTGGTGATGCCGAGGAGGAGAAGGTGATTGAGGAGGCGCCGAAGAAGACCAAGAAGGCTAAGGCTAAGGCTGCTCAGGATGATGAGGAGACGCTGTCGCTGGCTGCTAGGAAGGAGAAGCTTCAGAAGCAGAAGGCTAAGGCGTTGGAGGATGGTGCGGTGGCGGTTCCGCCGGCGGCGACTGGTGCTGGTAAGAAGAAGAGAAAGTCGACTTCTTGATTGACAATCTGCTTTTGCTGGGTTTATGTCCGGGCTGTATTGAATAGCAATGGGTGTCTCTTTTGTGTTTTACTCCGGCGGCGCGTGTTCGTTTCTTTCTTCTTGTTCATACATCGGGGCTTAATCAATACCCTTGGTCGAATAAAAGTTATGTATAGACGTGCTGGTGTTCTGATCGTAGTGTATTTTAGATCAGGTTCTTACCATGAAAATCAGACAAGTCGTGAACATGCGTACAACATAATACATAATGGCATTGGTATATCTATCACCTCACCTTCCCACCCACATCATACAAAAGCACAAACATGAACATGAATCAATCACTGCTTCAGCTTCTCCGTCAACTCAGGAACCTTCTCAAACAGATCCCCAACCAGACCAACATCCGCAACCTGGAAGATGGGCGCATCGGGATCCTTGTTGATCGCAGCGATGACCTTACTATCCTTCATACCCGCCAAGTGCTGAATAGCACCCGAGATACCGGCACACAGGTACAATTGCGGTGCGACGTTCTTACCCGTCTGTCCGACCTGCAGACTGTTATCCGCGAAGCCACTGTCCACAGCAGCGCGGGAGGCACCAATGGCAGCACCCAATGTATCAGCCAGAGGAACGATGACGCGGTCAAACTCCTCCTTGGACTTGAGACCACGACCACCGGAGACGACGCGGCTGGCGGTACCCAGGTCCGGACGCTCGGACTTGGCGAGCTCCTCGGACACCCATTCGGTTTGGGTGGGGGTGTTGGGGTCGACGCCCTCGGTGACGGAGGCGTTGCCGCCGGTGGTCTCGACGCCTTGGAAGGAGGTGCCGCGGACGGTGAGGATCTTGATGGGGTCGGTGGACTGAACGGTCAGGATGGCGTTACCAGCGTAGATTGGGCGGACGAAGGCTGTTTAGTTATATTGTTAGTATACTGCTGTATATGAATGGTTGTGTCTCCGACACCGGAGCAAATTCCCGCGTCCGGAATTGGAAAGGTAAAGAAGACATACTATCTTCACTCTCGATGCCCGTGATATCCGAAACCTGCTGCACATCCAACAGAGCAGCAACACGAGGCAGAAGACTCTTTCCGAACGCCGAGTGGCCAGCCACGACGTGCGTGAATTCTCCCTTCTTGATGTTCTCGACGAGCAACGGGGCGTAGTTCTCGGGGAGGCCCTATACCATAACTCGTCAGCACTTACCCTCCCCATTACTTTAGCCAACAAAGTAGAAAAGCAATTGAAGTACCTTCTCATAAGCCTCATTCTCCACCGCCAACACCTTGTCCAGACCCTTAATCTGCGCCGCCTCGGCAGCAGAGGTACCCTTCACGCCAGCACCCGCCACAAAGGCCGTCACGGGACCACCGAGCTTCTGGGCCGCAGCGATAGCGGACAAGGAGGAAGACTGGAGCTTGCCATCGCGCTGTTCGAGGACGGCGAGGGTGGAGAGAAGGCGGGCAAGCGCGGAAGTGGTGGTGATGCTGGAGCGGGGTGCTGTTGTGGCGCGGAGGGCGCGCAAGGCGGAGAGTCTTGCCTGCGGAAGGAGCATGATTGTATTCTGTGTATATATCTGTCTATTATTCTGGGGGGGGGTTGAGGAGGGGATGGTGGTGGTCAAGAGGGGAGAGGAGTCATTTGAAGGCGGAGAGGAAGAAGAAGCAGAAGTAAGGTTATCGTCGGATTTCCCGCCAAGCTTGTGTCGCCGATCCGTCGGAGTCTTCGGCTTAGCGTCTGCCTCGGTGCGATGCAGGCGCGGATATGCTCGGTTGGTGATGGAAGATGTTGGTTTGGAATGTGCTTTTACGTCATGGGTGGTGTTTCAATGAATTTATTGATGTGGTATGTTAGAATCGGGTTTTGAGGATTTATGCAGTGGTTAAGTGGTTCGGCGATGGTACAAGTCCAAGTCATGGTAGTTAGGGACTAATAGTTATAGTGAGAAGTAATGGTTCACATGTCAATCCTCTCTACTTACATTATAACCGGACTAATATAGGGTATGAAGGCGTCTTAATGATGGTCAGTAACTCTGATAACCTTTTCAGACGACCATTTACTCATGAGAGATGGTCATATAATTCCGCCAGTTGACGAAGTGGCGATCGGCGATCGAGAAACATGCCGAGGGTCTAATATCGACGGTCTACACAGTGAGTCGACAAGACAAATGATCCCAAGCAGCCCCCATGCCTTCTCTCATCAACTCAATACATAAGAAAATGACTTTTTAACATTTCATAGCCTATCAGGTCGGTTTTCTCATTGTTTGACCATCCAGCATTGACATCATACCATATCGGCTATATGGGTAAATCCCGACTAGAGCAGATCTGGATGCACCCACTGAATGGTAGCAGATTTCGATCAGTCCCTGGGTTTTCAGCTGGACAGTTCCGTTCCTGTCTCATCTGCCTTGTAGCTAGTTTCGATCCATTGAAGTCGTAAAGAAGTTCTCAACACACTGCCAATTTTCGAAAGAGTGGAGATTTACAAATGTATTGACAACGACTGCACAGATCGTCATAGACACGAGTGGTGGAATCTGGACGTCACTTCTTCACTGACTGTCGCCTTCATTCATAGAAGTAATTAAACATCCAATGCAACAGTCGACAAAGAAGGAGCAGATTGAAAGCTTCGGTGAGCGCACCGACTTCGCGACAAGGGCAGAGGGAATCTTCGTTTAGTTGGCATCGGCGATATGCATTGTGTATTGCATTTAAAGAATGCTGATGTTATTAAAGTATGTAGAGCAAAGGTAACCCTGTGTCTTTAGTGAGCGTACCATCTGGATAGCTAGACTATGTGGGGATGGACAATGCCATGACTAGATAGTGTTCACACGGAGTGAATTGCCTACCAATCAAAGTCAAATGCTGCAATACTTGTCTCTGCTGGGTCAGTCATTCGCTTTGTAATGTCTAAGCAAAAGACAGTCACAATTGTAAGTGCGGTATAGGACAGTGGAGCCGATAAAACCAGCCAGAAGTAGACTTTAGGCTGTAATTGCATGGCAAATCCACCACTGGCTTCATGAACAACGTATAGAGTAGTGCAATTGGCCCGGCTGGGATTATCGCGAACAGCCGATAGGCTGCACGCTTTCAGACTGAAAAGTTTCTGGGCGTTGGAGTCGGCAAAAGTACTGATCTTCTTCCTTACCTTGCCACTGACTTCGATGCGTCCCCGGTTCAAACTTACTTTGCGATCCAGCCCTCGCATCTGCCTTCATACCACGATAGTCCCACAGCAAGCATGGGCTGCTCATGCAATCGCGTTCCGGATCAAATCCCCAAGCCTATGAGGAGGTTGGTATTGCCACATCTGCCTCGCTTCCAGGCCGCAGGCTTCCGGGTATTATCCGTTCCAAGGCACAGTCGTCTCTTGCATCGGAGGAAATAAAGACTTGCATATTGCATCATAACACAGGATCTGCACGGGGTCGAAGGCGAGGGATATGAATCATCAAGCCATGGTTGTCGACTTCGTTTCACGCTGTGCTATTGTTCGCTAGACTTGATGGTCAAAATGTCCGGTCAAAGTCTCTGCTCAGATTAGCACATGAGATTCTTATTCATTCGGCTACCCTCATGTCTCCCATTAGAACAATCGCCAAGCCCCCTGTGAAAGACAACCAAGTACCCAGCAGCATGGCAAACCTAATTTCTCACGGGCCAAGTTCCGGACAGGTTCCGCGATAGGCGGGTTGTTCAAGAGTCCCTTGCATGTACCCATGGACGCGGACATCGTGGGACTGCCAAGGGTTCCAGAATCCCGCATGCAGTATAGTAACGACTTTGTATTGTAGGCCGCCTTTGTTCATTTGTGGTTGCTTTGTGGTGCAACTGTACAGTCAAGATAGTGCAATCGAGGCCTAGAATTCAAGGCGACAAGGCAATGAGCCAGTCAGGCTATCGCAGGGATGTGTGCATATTGTTTGCTTCTAAACTCAGGACCTGTAAACAGCGGATAAAGAAACAACAGAGCTGGCTCTGACACCGACACATCATTAATAAAGACTTGAGACGTCAGTCATTGAGTCAATGAAGCATGTGATTAGAGAATGCTCATTAGTCTGAATCCGACCAATCCCGCAACGGATGCAACTATTGGCCCAACTGCTGATTGTTAGTAACAGTCGACAGTCCCAACCACTCCACAGCGACATTCAAAAGATAACGAACAAGCCTCGCATCTAGTCTAACGTTGTGGGTATCAACCGCTCAGCCCGAGCCATCCGTCCAGGAGAGGCTCGGAAACCCCTATTTGCACTTAAGGGGTAGTAGTAGTTGCAAGTATCGAACCCAATCTTGAGTCAATGATTCTCCAGATGGTTGCCGATATTCATTAATCAGATACCGTGCGTGACGTCTGACCGGTGAACAGGATGCAGCGATGTCCTTTGCTCCAAGCTAACTATTCAATTCGGCTGGACGGGGCGGAAACCAGATAATTGCTCCAACTGTCTCCGACGGATAAAATCTAGTGGAATAGCGGAGAAAGTAACGGAACTTGGGATGGCTCAGGTACAGCTGCACAATGATAGGACAAAGACATCGGTGCCTGAAACAGTTTCGGCTTTAGTTGCTTGCTGTTACTCCGTTCAGCGCGCATCCCGTAGACGTCTGCAGTCCCGACGTCAAGTGACTAATCGGAAGAAAGAGACCCTCAAGTCGGCGAATCATTGGTAGAACACACGAATACAGCATCATCTCTGGTACCACATTTTGGATAGGGACACGTCAATAGCTGATGCGTTGGGAGATTAGTTCGATATAAGAATTCAATAGTCGAATGTCAAAATGGCGGGTGGGAGGAGACTATTAGTCCACGGGAGGAGACAAGGGCGAGGCGGATGCGTGGAAATAAGTTGTGAGCTGTCGTCGAGATACCGAGTTGGGCGTAGTTACTGGGCTTCACCCGTGGACTTGTCCATTCAAGAACGTTCCAACTCTCCGGACTGGCTCAGAAAGAACGATCAATCATGTAAGGTCCAAAAGCTTCTTGTCCCCACTATAGGCCGCCAAATAATTCTGGTGATTGTTTATCGAGTAGTTGAACATGCAGAAAGGCACCGCACCACCCACTCCACCTAATTTAATTGAGCGCTCCGATCCCCTCCTCGGTTCACCCATCCAGAATGCGGAGAAGCAGCGATGACTACTATCAGATTGGTTGAAGTGATAGGCATATCCGATAGATAGGCTTCTTCGCAGGCACTTAGCATCAACTGAGTACGTA